TTTTTAATTTGTAGCACTACTGTTAATACTTGACCTAAGGCACTAATCGCAGCACCGAGTTTGTTTTGAGCTGTCACTTGGTGTTGATCCTTTTTTAAGGCTGTCACTCCCATACCAGATTTTATTTCCTGGTTCAGCTGAGGCGCTCCCATCAGCAAACAGTTTTCTGGTAGCTGATATTTTTTTATTAGCGCTTTAGAGGCATCTGGCGGCAATCCAAATTGTAATATTTTTATCCACAGATCAGCAACAGTGTTATGTATCGGTTCGCTGGGATGCGCGTCCTCTGGCGCGCCCTCCCCTAACAACATTAGCATTGAGTTTTCAGCTGTTACCGACAGAGAACTGGCGTCTTTTTTGGCCACGTTTTCGCCGCCATCTTGATTTGTTTTTTGATGTGAACGGTGCGAATTTTTTGACGAATTTCCTGATGGGGTTATGGATCGAGAACGGGAAAAACTTCTGGATCGCGAGCGACTTCCTGAAACTGTGCTTGGGTTATCTCTAGGACTAACCTCTCGCTGTTTCTTGCCGGGACTGAAGTACGGCGTCCCTCGCGGGGTACGTTCTTTACTTCGCCTTCCGGGCGATCTGGACTCTCGGTCTCGAGATCGTTTGTCGTGTCCGTCTTTTTTCCTGTAAGGGAGAGGAGATTTGCCTCTCGGGCTATGCCTCTTGTTTGATCTTACCGTTTTAGGCGACACTGATCGTGAACTGGCTGATGACGATGAACTCGCGCGAGTGCGTGATCGAGCACGCTTGAGTTTCTTAAGTTCTTTTTTCGCCTTCTTTATTTTTCGATCGATGTTTTTCGATGAGCTCCTTTTCCTCTTCTTATGATGACGACGGTCACTCTCGGATGATGAATTTTCTCCTGACGATGAACTCATTTTTCTTTTAACAACGAGAGACGCGATGTTGCAAGGAACGCACAATACAACGTAATGACGAGCAGAGGGCTAGATAATAGGACGCCACCTGTTGGAGGCGCTAAAAGTTTTTAACTTTGAAATTATTGTGGCGGAACGTATAATACCACGGTACTACCTGTGTGATCTAGAGGACGAGGCGGCGAAGTACAATTGACTTCTTGAGAAGAATTTTTAAAAAAATTTTGACAATAATTTAATTTTTGAGAAGAATTTCCCTATCTAATTATAAAGATAATTTAATTCTTGACGAGAATTTTTAAAAAATTTTGAAAATAATTTAATTTCTGCAAAGTATTTTATTATTTTTTAGAAGAATTGAATTCTTGTGATGAATATTCATATTTATATAAATAATTGAATTTTAAAAAAGGATTTTATTAAAATCCCTTAGAATAATTGATTTTATGGGAAGAATTTATGCGATTTTGTTGTTTATCAAGCTAATTGAATTCTTTTACAAAATTACTTAAAAATTTTTGAAAATAATTGATTTGAATTATTGCAACGAATTTCATTGTTTTATTGAATAATTGAATGTTTCTTAAAATTGAATTCTTTCCACAAGTTTTAATAACATTTTTAATAATAATTGCATTTTTCAAGGAATTTATATAAAATTGTATTAAAAATATTTGAAATTCTGCGATGAAAATAATTGAATTCGTAAATGAAATTTTATTATTTATGAAAATAATTGAATCTTTTCGTAGAATTGTATCAACAAGTTTTTTCTATATAATTAAATCTGTTGATAAATTTTATGAAAATAGTAAATATTTAAAAACACTGAATTGCGAAAAACTTTTCAAAATAATTGAAATATTGCAAAGAATTTTATTAAAGTTTTTGAAAACAATTGAATTTTTGGCGAAAAAGTTTGCTATTTATAAAAATAATTGAAATTTTGCCAAAAATTTAATTAAAATTTTTGACAATAATTGAATTCTTGTGATGAATTTTATTAAATTTTGTTTAAATAATTGAAATTTTGCCAAGAATTTAATTAAAATTTTTGACAATAATTGAATTCTTGTGATGAATTTTGATATTTATCAAAGTAATTTAATTTTGGAAAAGAATATCATTGAAATTCCCTAAAATAATTGATTTTATGGGGAGAATTTTGTTGGTTATCAAGAAAATTGAATTCTTTTGCAGAATTACTTAAAAATTATTGAAAATAATTGATTTCCTGCGACGAAAATAATAGGGGAAATTTTCAAAATAGGGTACGTTTAGGGGCCAAAATTAAAAAAAGGGGACAGACTGTGAAGCCTGAACTAATTTTAGTTTTACAAAATTAAGCAGAAACTTTTAATTAAAATAAAAATAATACAAACATAACCTTAAAATGATTTGCCTATATAGTACAATTTCATTGGAATGTCGAGAGTGTCGAGTGTGTCGTAATTATAAAGTAAATAATCATAAATTTTTACATAAAATTACTAAACAAAAAGTCCCTTCTAAATAGAAAAATTAATGAATATACTTCTTTTTCTCACGAAACTTTTTGCTACCCCTTCAACTATACATTATTTAAAAATATAATTAATGAACAAATGGAAAAAAACAAAGTTTAATAAAATTGTAAAAAAAATACTAGAAAACACTAAAATACTAAAATTAATGAATTTAATTCTTTTTCTTACAAAACTTGTTGCTACCCCTTCAACTATACATTATTTAAAAATATAATTAATGAACAAATGGAAAAAAAACAAAGTTTAATAAAATTGTAAAAAAATACTAGAAACTGGTATGAAAGAAGGAAAAAATATGTAAAAATTAAAATATAAAAATCATACATCACACTCGATAATTAATTTTAAAAAAGTAGCAAAAAGTATCTTTAAAACTAAAAAAAAGTAGCTATCGATAAATTAAACTTGACGACCAAAAAAACTCATTTTAGACACTTCACAAAACTTACAAGAATTACATTCCATATTTTTTATTTTCCTCTACTTTTTCCTAATTTTCATAAAAAATATTTACTTCTTTCTTATCCTGCTAATAAATTGAATTTCTGCAATGAATTTTATTATTTATGAAAAAATTTAAATATTTAGAAAAATAATTTAATTCTTGAGAAGAATTTTATAAACATTTTTTAATGATTGATTTCTTTCGACTAATTTTATGGAAATTCTAATTTAAATAATTGAATTCCTGAGAAATTTTACTTATCCATGAAAAGAATTGAATTCTTATGAAGATTTATACAAAAATTTTTTTAAATAATTGAATTCTGTTTGGAAATTTTATGAAAATAGTAGATATTGAAAATCATTGAATAGCGAAAAGTTTTTAGAAATAATTATATTTTACAAAGAATTCAATTAAAATTTGACAATACTCTAATTTTATTAAAATCTAAAAGAATAATTCAATTATTTCAAAAAAATTAAATTAAAAAAATTAAATTAAATTTTTAAAAATAATTACATTTTTTGAACAATTCCTGTAAAATTGTATTAAAAATAATTAAAATTTTGTAATGAATTTTATTATTTATGAAAATAAATGAATTTTTGTGTACGATTTTATTATTTATGAAAATAATTGAATTCTTGTGTACGATTTTATTAGAATTTTTTGAAATAATTGAATTTACAAGAAGAAATTTATCATTTTTAAAAATAATTTAATTTACAAGAAGAAATTTATCACATTTAAAAATAATTGAATTCTTGTGATGAATATTGTTATTTATAAAAATAATTGAATTTTGCAAAGAATTTTATTAAAATGCCTCAAAATAATTGAATTCTAGTAGATATTGAAAATTAGTGAATTGCGAAAAGTTTTTTTTTTAAATAATTATAAATTTTATAAAGAATTCAATTAAAATTTTTAAAAATAATTGAATTTTGCAAAGAATTTTATTAAAATGCCTCAAAATAATTGAATTTGCGGGAATAATTTTGCTATTTTATAGACATAATTGAATTTTTTCGAAGAATTATTTATGTAAATAATTAATTCCTTGGGAAGAATTTTATTAAAACCTAAAATAATTTATTTCTTTCGAATAATTTTATTAAAATATTTAAAAAAATAATTGAACTCCTGTGAATAATTCTAATATTTTTGTAAATAATTGAATTCTTCCAAAGAATTTTAAAAAAACATTTTTTTAAATTTAATTGATTTTTTCAAGGAATTAAAATTAAATTTTTAAGAATAATTACATTTTTTGAATAATTTGTTTACTGTTCTATTAAAATTAATTGAAATCCTGCAATCAATTTTATTATACCTATGAAAACAATAATTGAATAGTTGCTAAGAATTTTATTAAAATTTTCAAAAATAATTGAATTCCTAAGAAGAATTTTATTATTTGTGGAAATAATGGAATTACATATTGCGAAAAAATTCAAAAAAATGTTTAAAAAGAATTAAATTTCTGTGAAAAATTTTGTTATTTTTCAAAATCATTTAATTCTTTTTGAGAATTTTATAAACATTGTTTTATATAATTATTTTTTTTCGAAATATAATAAATATTATGAAAATTTTATTTTAAATAATTGAATTCTTGTGGAAAACTTTATTTGCAAAAATAATTGAATTTTTTGATTAATTAATTTAAAATATTATTAAAAATAATTGAATTCTTGCTTTGAATTGTATCATAATTTTTTTTAAAAATTGAATTTCCATCAAAAATGTTATTATTAGTGAAAGTATTTGAATTATTGAGAAGAATTGTATAAAAATTTTGTTAAATAATTGATGTTTTCGAAATTTCCTTGAAAATGCAATTCTAAATTAATTGAATTCCTGTGAAAATTTTATTTATGAAAATAATTGAATTTCGAATATTTTTTTTGAAAAAAATTGAATTGTTTCAAAGAATTTGATTATAATTTTTGAGAATAGTTTTTTGATTTCTAGTATTAGCGAATTTAAAATAATGGAAATTCTCAAAAAACAGAAATAGTAGCTTTTAGTGGCTGAAATCTAAAAAAAGTACCCAAATAGTAGCAGAACTTAAAAAAAAGTAGTAAATAGTAGGTTTTAATAGATGAGTGCGAAGTCTGGAAAATAAAAATTTCTTACTTCTTGGTCAACGTATTGAAGAAGATAAGTCCATCCAGTAAAATCGGATGGATCTTCATTAACGGCTTTCCAATATTTTTCCAATTCGGGTAATGACTTCTTCTTCGGTGATGCGGGTTTTGTTTCCAATTTAGCGTCAGATTCAGTATCCGATGTCAAAGCTAATTTCTTTGCCGGGGTTTCATCATTATTCTCAGAAGTTGGTGAACTCGGGTCATATTCTCCGTCAGCGTTTAATTTACGTTTATCTGCAAAAATTATCTGACTTTTAAAACGAGAACTAAATCGAGTTTGTAAATAATAAAATTAATAAAATGCAATAACAATAATTTTAGATGTTACTTATAAGGCAGTAATAAGATTTGTTCTAACAAATAAAGAATTAAAAATAAAATAAATAAAAAAAGTATGGAATAGGGTAGAGTGGGGTAAAAAAGCCATGGTGTAAAAAAGCCATTTGAGTTTTATTTAAAAACTATTAAGCCGATTTATCAGCTGTTTAGAATATAAATACTATTAGGTAATACGCAACTTTTGAATCTAGTTTGAATGTTGTACCTAGATTAATATTGTTTTTATTGTAATTTTAATTTTTTGTTGCTTTTTTGAAAACATTTTGGTGAACTTTTCAAACATATTACAGTCTGATTAAGTGAACGAATAATAAAAATAAATGTTTGTACATAAGGAGAAAAGTATACCGAAAACGTATACAATGTTAATTTTTGGAAATTGAACTGAATTAACAATTTATTTTTGCTTTTTTAATAACTGGTCTTGGGTGTAAAAAAGCCAGGGCAAAAAATCCATTGAATATTTTGTGAAATTCACTTGTTTTCTATTTAAACTAACCTTCTTATTTTACAAAATTTCTCGTGTTTATTTAATAAAATAAATTAAACACGACGAAAAAGTAGTTCAAAGTGCATTTAAAAAATAAACAATGAATAAACGGTTGCAACGAAATATGTTATCTGTGGTGAAACTTAAAGAGAACTTCTAAAAAAGGTACGAAAAATTGGCAGTGCAAATCGAAAACAGGTAAACTTAATATAATTTTCAATTTTGCTTGCTAAAAACTCTTTCATAATTATTAAAATATTTTTCAAATAAGACTATTTGTCATATAAATAAAGGAAAACTATAAAAATACCTAAATTGATAACATGTTTTGCTAAAATCGTAGGGTGGCTTTTTCACCCCACCAGGTGGTGCAAAAAAGCCACTTGCAGTGCTTTCGTAAAACTCTTATAACTTAGTCCTTTCATGAGATAAAAAATATTTCCGTCAAGAATTTTCAAGCTTAATAACTAAACTTTCAATAACAATTGGAAATTTGAGAAAAAAATTTTAAATACAGATTTTACAGCATCAAAAGTAAAAATGTGGCTTTTTTACCCCACTCTACCCTACAATTGAAAGTATAATAATTTAAATTTGCAAAGAAATAAACTTACTTGCACCGTCAACTTTAATCTTTTTCTCCGCAGATTTCTTTAAGCCCTTTTTCTTCTTCTCACTATCTGGTGGTAGTTCGTCTTCTGAAACAGATTCTGTTTCGCCCAAATCAGCAGGAGGGGCTGCGGGAAGTTCTTCGTCAGAAACAGCCTCAGTCTCTGGCTCCTGATATTTTGTAAAAACAAAAAAACTTAAATATTTTTCAAATATAATTTGAAACATTTATTCTACAATAATTATTAACAACTTTTCTTCGTGAATCATGAATCATTTTTTCAGTGTAGAAATAACATTTTTAATAAACTTTACAAACGTTATTTCTGTTGCAAAAATCTCTTCAAAAAAAAAAAAAAAAAAAATGAAGTAAAAATAAAAGATAAACAATTTTTGTAGGAGTCGGAAGGGTAGAAGGATTTAAGATCACGTTATTTAGTGATCACGTGATCCATATGCTTTACTTTTGGACCACGTGTTCATTGAATAACAAGATCTTAAGGAATACCTGGATCATGCACTCGATAGGAAAATCATCATCGGATACTTCTTCCATATCTTCAAGCTGAATTAAAAATTTAATGAATTCATCAAAATAAGAAAGAATATGATATTATAATTGAAAAGAAAGAAAAATAATAAAATTTCATATATTCAAAGATATTTGTTAATAATTTTCAATTAGTGGAAAAAATAAGAATAACAATATTTTTATTAACAAATTTCTTTTCATCGTTTACAGGGCTCCAACCAGTAAAAGTATTTAAAAATACGTTCTTTACGGACCAAATTCAGTTATTATTTTCAAGAATTTTTAACTAAAATTCTTCTTTAAATTAATTAATTTTCGAAAAAGTTGTCTGACAATTTTCAAATCCATTTGTTTACAATATTCAATTTTACGAATTTAAATTATTCGTCAATTCTGCAGTTAAATATATATTAGAAAATAAAAACTTTAAATAATTTCAAAAAAAAATCCGCAATTTAACTTTTTCAAAAAAATTAATTTCAAAATTTAATTATTTCTAAAAATTAAAGCTATATTGCTTTTAATATTCAATTATTATCTAAAATTTTAACTGAAATTCATTTTTAAATCAATTTTTATTAGAAATTTCTACAATTCAATTATTTAAAAAGAAAAATAAAGAATTGAATGTTTCTTAAAATTCAATTCTGATAAAGAATTTTATCAACAAACTTTTAAAGAATTCAATTCTTTTGACGAATTTTACTAAAATTTTTAAGAATAATTACATTTGCCGACAAATTCGATCAAAATTGTTTTAAAAATAATTAAAATTCTGCGATGAGTTTTATGATTTATGAAAATAATTGAATTTCTAAGAAGAATAATTTTATTATTTTTGAACATAATTAGATTTCTGCAAAGGATTTAATCATTTTTCTTTTCAAATATTTTTAATTTTAAAATTATTGTATTGAAAATCATTGAATTCCTTTGAAGAATTTTATTATTTATAAAAATAATTGACTTCTTTCGAAGAATTTTTGAAAATAATTCAATTTAATTAATATTTTTTTAAAAATAATTGTATTATTTCGAGAAATTGTATTAAAATTAAAATAAAATACTTGAATTCCTCAGAAGAATTTTATTATTAATGAAAATAATAAGAATTCATTTGAAGAATTTTATTATTTATGAAAATAATTGAAATTTTGCGAAGAATTTAATCAAAATTGTTGAATATAGGTAGTTGATTTTTTTAAAGAAATTGTAATTAAAAATTCTGAAAAATTAGTTTTTAAATTCTATAAAAAGTAATTTAATTTTTCAAAAATTTTATTAAAAAAATTGATATAATTAAATTTTTAAAAACAAATTGTGTCATTTTCTAATTTTTATAGAAAATAATTTAATATTTTACAAGAAAATCAAAATTGTTGAATTTATAGTTGAATTATTTAAAGAAATTGTAATTAAAATTCTGAAAAATTAGTTTTTAAAAATTCTATAAAAAGTAATTTAATTTTTCAAAAATTTTAATAAAAAATTGACATAATTAAATTTTTATAAACAACTTGTGTCATTTTCTAATTTTTATAGATAATAATTTAATATTTTACAAGAAATTTCTTAAAAATTTTGAACAAAATTTACTTTTTAAAATTTCATAGACAATTTTAGAAATAATTGCATTTTTGAGATTAACTCAATTTTACAATTATTTTCATTGTTTTTTAAAAAAATTGATTTTTGGAATTATAATTGAAATTTCTTAAGTTTTAAAGAAGATATATGAATATTTTTTCAAGAAGGAAACAATTTAAATAATTGAAAATAATTGAATGCTTGCAAAGACTTTACTATTTAAAAAAAATAATTGAATTGTTTCAAAGGATTTATTCAAATTTTAGAAAATAATTGAATTCTTTCATGAAATATTAAAATTGTATTGAAAATAATTTAATTCCTGCGAAGAATATTGTACTATTTATAAAAATAATTGAATTCTTCCGAAGAATTTTATTATTTATGAAATATAATAATTGAATTCTTACGAAGATTTTTATTAAAATTTTCGAAATTAATAAACAAGAGTAATTAATTAGTAAATTAGTGAATAATTGAATTTTTTTAATGTTTCAATCTGAAATTATTCAAAAATTCATATTTAAAAATAAAAAATGTTGTAATTTGCATAATAATAATAAATTGAACATTACGCTTAGCGCGCGTAACAGTTGCTAGTTTTTAATAATTTTTGAAAAAATTTTTTGAGAATTTTCAAATTCATTTGTTTTTAACTGAAATTCATTTTTAAATCAATTTTTATTAGAAAATTCTACTAGAATTAAATTATTTAATCACAAAAATAAATAACTTATTGATTTATTCAATGTTTCTTAAAATTGAATTCACATAAAGAATTTTACCAACAAAATTTTTTAATAATTGCATTCTTTTCACGAATTTTAATAAAATTTCTAAGAATAATTACATTTTTCGAAGAATTCAATTAAAATTTTATTAAAAATAATTGAAATTCTTCAATAAGTTTGATTATTTATGAAAATAATTGAGGTCCAAAAAAGAATTTTATTATGTTCGAAAATATTTGAATGCCTGTAAAAATTTTATTATTTATGAAAATAATTGAATGAAGAAATTTATAAAAAATTTGTAAATAATTGAATTCCTCTGAAATTTTTATTATTTTATGAAAATAGGTAATTAAAGGTTTGAGTTGAATTTTATTAAAATAGGTAATTAAAGGTTTGCGTTGAATTTTATAAAAATTTTTTTTAAATAATTGAATTCTTTTGGCAAATTTTATTCAAATAGTAGATATTGAAAATCATTAAATTGAGGAAAACTTTTAAAAATTATTTACATTTTATTAAAATTTTGGAAAATAATTGAATTTTGGAGAAAAATTTTATTTCTAAAGATAGGTAATTGAAATTTTGACGAGAATTTAAAAAAAAATTTTAACATAAGGTAAAGGTCCCAATTATGGGACAATTTACAATTTTATCCCTATTATGAGACAGTATTACAAAAAATAAAATAAATGCAATTAAAATTGGTCAGAAGAAATTTCTACTTATTTCAAAAAATTTTACACGTTAAAAGAATAATTATTTGTGTATAGCATTTAATTTAATAAGAAATGTTTATTTGCATTTTAGCTTTTAAATTAAGGTAGCCAGGTTTTTCGTCAGACTACCGTCTCACATTAGGTACACTTATAATTTGCATGTCCCTATTATGAGACACACAGCAAACATAACCTCAAAAATTTTCAGTATTTTCACATTAATTTTCTACCAGAAAAATTAGTTTTATAATTATTTATTAAACCAGAATTTGTTTACTGTATTTTATTCTTTATAATTAATATTCAAATTATTAAGATAAGTCAATAGAATTCTAATTACTTATTGAATTAAATAAATGTCTCATAATAGGAACATTCATTATGGGACACCCGTACATACAGAAATCATCGTCCCATAATTAGTGCAGTGCAGAGTTTCATAATTTAATTAATATTATTTTTATTTCATGAAAAATAACCATTTTAGGGTCTAAATATTATTCCTAACATATCAATCTTTCAATCTATACCCTAATTATTCATATTAACACTCCTAATTCCAAGAAATTTATCATAGAAATTTAGTTTAGCTTAAACAGCGTCCCATAATTGGGACTTTTACCTTAATTGCATTTTTGTGAAGAATTTTATTAATTTTAAAAATAATTGAATTTCTGCAATCATTTATAATTTCTCTAAAATTCTCCAAATTATATGGTAAAATTTACCGACTTTTCGTCATTTTTCAATAAAAATTACGGACTTTACGGACCTTTTTTTTTAAAAAAAAAAACTAACTTTTACGGACTTGAAGCAAATTTACGAACCTAGTTCGAGCCCTGCGTTTACTGAATAAATTTTTAATAAATTTGAAAAAGTTAAAAGTGATTAAAACATACTTTGGCGGCGGCCTCAGTTGGCAATTCATCCTCAGAAACAGCCTCAGTGTCTGGCTCAATTTTCTTTTCTACTTCGGAATTATTTATCATTTCTGAATCCTCAGTTGTTTCATTATTGGTTGGTTCATTATCTGGCGTTTCTTCCATTTCTTCTGTCTCTTCTGCCTTAATGTCAGTATCGGGTTCAACTTCATTCGCAACTTCTTCTTTTTTTAAATTCTCTTCCTTAATCTCTGGAGTCTCAACAACAGGTTCAACCTCTTTTTCCTCATTTTCTTTCTGAGTTTCTTCTTCAACTTCCATAAGTGAACTTGGTTCTAATTCTTCTATTGTCTCGATATCGGCAGTTTCCGCTTTAATCACTTCGGTTGTAACCTCAGACTTAATATCCTCCACAATATCCTCTGTAATGTCAACTTCCTTAACGCTTTTGTTGTTTGTCTCGACATTATCTGAACTTTCCTCCTAAAAACAAGGAAAACAACATTTCGTGTAAAAATCGACTTCATCTCAAATATCCACTTATAAAAAAGTTATGTAGCATTTTTTGGTTTAAATAAAAAAAAGAAATTGAATTTAATTAATATTGTTAACTAAAAATGATTTCTTACCAAATTCTGTGGAGATTCTTTAACTTTTAGAGTTGAATGAATGGCAGTTGCAGTTTGAACATTGCTGACAATGGGAGGAGGTGGCGATTCAAGTTCAGGAACAGATTCAGAATCTACTTCCATGTTCAAATCAAGCTCATTCTCCTTCATGTCTTTACTATCTTCTTGTAGACTTTCCACTGGAACTTCCTCTTCCTCTTGTTGTTCTACTGCTTGAACACCGTTGGCTGGAATTTCGTCCGAATCTCCTTCAATCACAGTTGTTTCATTCTAAAACAAATTATAAAGAAAAATTTATTACTAAACATTGAAAGAATTTTGGGCAGGCTGCAGGCTTTACACAGCTTTACATGAGTGCCGCTAGAGCTCGCTGCCTCAAGCTCGCAATTAACCTCAAAAAGGCGAGAATCTACTCCCGAAAGGTCAGCTGCGAGCCCTGTGCAAGGGGCACTAATTTCGGACATGAAAAGCCAGCAGCCTGCCTAAAATTCTTTCAGTGAAACGTAGACTTCGGAGATGAATTTAAATTTTTACTCGCCTAATTTTTTTTAAAAATAAACTTTTAACTTCTAAATGAGTGTTGTGGCTCAAAAGATAAATATAGTTTTTACAAATCTACAGACTGCAATTTTCGCATATTTGTAAAAAATTTTTAATTTTAATTATATCATTTCCGAATTGACACTAGTGCCCTTGGCCTGTAAAAAAATCAAAATAGTGACCAGTCTGTGGCGAACCTTCGAAAGTGTCGCTTGTATTGCGGAAAAAAATTATATTTAAATAAACTGAGCAATTTTATATTATTTATTTAATTGAAAACCATTCTCACATATTTAGTACTTAGGGATATTTTTTGTTTCTGTAAATGAGCAAGAGATCAAAATTTAAAAAATCAAAAATGTCGGATCACACTTAGTTATCTTGGGGCTAGGCTTCACAGTGCCCCTAAAAAGTATTTTAGTGGAAATAGGAGACTGAAAATTAAAAAATAGGGGACTTTTAGGGGACCATAAAAATTGTTTAAATAAAGATAAAAATAGGTATAATTTATTTATACAGGGTTGCCACAAAAATTTAACTTTATTTTTCCCTGACTTTTCCCTGATTTCCAAACACAACTTTCACTTTTTCCCTGGCCCTAAAGAATATTCCGATTCAGTCTAAAAATTATTAGATACTCAAAAAAATGTTTTATTAAATTTATTTACAAATTTCTTCAAAAGTGAAATTATTCGAAAACATCAATAGTATAATCATTTTATTTCATTGGAATTAAGATGTTCAAAAATTTCAGATTCAAACCTTTTTAAATTTCTTCACAATTATTTGTATCATTTCAATTCAATTAACATTTTCTAGAATTTTAACTAAAATTCTACTTTAAATCAATAACATCAATTATTATTATTCAATTAAACTTTTTCAAAAAAATTAATTCTACAGAATTGTTAGTTAAAAGTACGAAAAATATTAATTTAATTCTACGAGAAATCAATTATTTAAGTACAAAAATAAATAATATTGAATGTTTCTTAAAATTTAATTTTTACGAAGAATTGTATTAACAACTTTTGAAAATATTTAATTTCTTTTAAGGAATTTAATTAAAATTTTAATGAAATTTATTATATTAAAGAATTTTATAACAATTTTGGAAAATAATTGACTTCTTGAGAAGAATTTTTAAAAAATTTTCGACGATAAGTTTGAAAATAATTTAATTTCTGCAAAGTATTTTATTACTTTTCAAAAGAATTGAATTCTTGTGATGAATTTTGATATTTATAAAAATAATTGAATTTTGGAAAAGAATTTTATTAAAATTCCTTAGAATAATTGATTTTATGGGAAGAATTTATGCGATTTTGTTGTTTATCAAGCTAATTGAATTCTTTTGCAAAATTACTTAAAAAATTTTGAAAATAATTGATTTTCTTGCGACGATTTAAATGTTATTTATGAAAATATTTGAATTATTGCAACGAATTTGATTGTTTTATTGAATAATTTATTGAATGTTTCTTAAAATTGAATTCTTTCCACAAGTTTTAATAACATTTTTAATAATAATTGCATTTTTCAAGGAATTTATATAAAATTGTATTAAAAATATTTGAAATTCTGCGATGAAAATAATTGAATTCGTAAATGAAATTTTATTATTTATGAAAATAATTTAATTCGTAAATGAAAGTTTATTATTTATGAAAATAATTGAATCTTTTCGTAGAATTGTATCAACAAGTTTTTTCTATAATTAAATCTATTGATAAATTTTATGAAATAGTAAATATTTAAAAACATTGAATTGCGAAAAACTTTTGAAAATAATTGAAATTTTTCAAAGAATTTTATTTAAATTTTTAAAAATAATTGAATTTTTGGCAAACAAATTTTGTTATTTATAAAAAAAATAATTGAATTCTTGACAAGATATTCATTAAAATTTATAAAAATAATTGAATTCGTGCAAAGTATTTTATTAAATTTTGTTTGAATAATTGAAATTTTGCCAAGAATTTAATTAAAATTTTTGACAATAATTGAATTTTTGAGAATAATTTTGATCATTATCAAAATAATTGAATTTTGGAAAAGAATTTATTTAAAAATTCTTAAAATAATAGATTTTTTGAGGGAGAATATTGTTGGTTATCAAGATAATTGAATTCTTTTGCAAAATTACTTAAAAATTATTGAAAATAAATGATTTCCTGCGACGAAAAAATAGGGGAAATTTTCAAAATAGGGTACGTTTAGGGGCCAAAATTAAAAAAAGGGGACTTTTAGGGAAATAGGGGACAGACTGTGAAGCCTGCAATACTATTTAAAACCCCTAGATACTAAGAACCGCGAAAATGGAATAGAATTCCAAAATTTTAATCATAATTAAAAATCTTCTAATTCAAGCTTAATTTAAACTTAAACTGCGCCAGAGTTGAGATATTGTCGTTCGAGGCTATAGAGCTTTTAATGATTTTTTTTATTGCTGTCGTATTGGATCCGCATTTTTAATTTATAAAAACTTAATTCAGATTTGTACCAGTGACCCCTAAAATCCCAAGATACTAAGTCATGCGAAAATGGAATATATTTAATAATTTTTTTTGCCGCCATATTGGGTCCGTTTGAATTTTCAAAATCTGACTTCAGATTCATAATCAAGAATCAACGACCTTGAAAATCTCTAGATACGAAGTCCTTTAAAAAATCATTCAAAATTGTTTGAGTTATAAATTTTGTCCAGCTAGATTCGCGATTCGTAGCACTGTGCAAAAGTAGGAAAATGTAATTTCCGAGAAGTCTCTGTTTTTAGTAAGAAATTATTAAACAATTGAGGGGCTGGATTAGGGTGTCCCAAAAAAATAAAAAGTTTTTTTTTATTGGGTCTCATCCCCTAAAATTCTTTCAAATTGTGTAAAAATAAGAACACAATATTTGGAAATAAAAATTTTTAATATTAACCCGTGGTTCAGAGCCTTTGAACCATAAAAACGCTAAAAATGTAGTGTTTTTTCATTTTTAACATAAATATAAATGTCAAAATATAATGAATAGGGTGTCATTGTAAAGATAATTAAATTACCTTTTGATCCATATGTCATAGTATAAGATTCAATGAAAATTAAGAGTGTTACAGTCGATTAAAGATCAAATTTCATGAAAATTTTGATGATTTTTATTTTTTAGACACTTAAGTAACTTGTACTTTTTTACATTGAACAGTAAAAAATATTTAGGTTTTAATTTCTTTATTGAGAGTCTGTAACATTACAAAATTTTTTAGCCCTTGTGGACCTCGATTTGATTGAAAATGACAATTATAGACTAGATTTAGTGAACGAAACTATTTTTTTCATTCTTATCATTCCTTTAACATTTGGAGCAAAAATTGAAACAATAAATTTAGATATAACCACTAAACTTACTAAAATCAGTAATAAAAAAATACTGAAGTCGCTGATTTAGAGTCTAATATCAGTTTTTCAAATTTCAAAATGGCGGAGAACTTCATAAAAGTCGATCGAATTCGTCTCAAAATCGGGTAACGGATTTTGAGACGAATTTAATCGACGATTAAATTACGGATTTTTGTAATGTTACAGACTCTCAATAAAAAAATTAAAATCTAAATATTTTTTACTTTTTAATGTAAAAAAAGTACTAGTTACTTAAATGTCTAAAAATCATCAAAATTTTCATGAAATTTGATCTTTAATCAACTGTAACACTCTTAATTTTCATTGAATCTTATACTATGACGTATGGATCGAAAGGTAATTTAATTGCCTTTACAATGACACCCTAATCATTATATTTTGACATTTATATTTATGTTAAAAATGAAAAAACACTAAATTTTTAACGTTTTTATGGTCCAAAGGCTCTGAACCACGGGTTAATATTAAAATTTTTTATTTCCAAATATTGTGTTCTTATTTTTACTCAAATTGAAAGATTTTTAGGGGATGAGACCCAATAAAAAAAAACTTTTTATTTTTTTGGGACACCCTAGGCTGGATGCTATAAAGGGATACGCGCCATTCACTTATCCAGCCTCTCAATTGAATCAACTGAGAGCCTGATATTGTCTTTCTTTTGGGGGATATATTTTCTTAATACATCCCTGAAATTGAAGACTCGTGCACTGAGAAAAATAGAGTTTGAAAAACTGGGAGTCAATATTGAAAAAACTGGACTCAGTCCAGTAAAAGTACATTAATTCATTTATATCAAGCATCTTAGGGTGTTGCGTATAGTGTATAGAGGGCCTTAGTTCCAAATGTCACTGTAAAGAGCATTGAAACACAGGCGAAGATTATAAGGCGCGCTGCAGTGTGCATAGTAGAGAAAGAGTGAAAGAATTTCCTGATTTTTAGACAAAACTTTGACTCTTTTCCAAACCCTAAAAATATTTTAGTTTACTCTAAAAATAATTGAAACTCCAAAATATGTTTATAATACATTTTTTTGAATATCTTTAATACTAAAAATAATTTTGAACTTAAATAGATTTTTTGAAATAAATATTTAATTATTATCCATTATTTTTCCATATTTATTAAAATAAAAGTCCTACAAAAAAATTTCAAAGACAAAAAAGTTGCGCATTTTTATGCTCTATACGGTAGTATGTTTTAAAATTAAAAATTCCGACTTTTATTTGTTTTCATTTGTTGACGGCTTGACTGGCTTGGATTTTTCAGTTCAAGCGCAGATCGAGATATTGCCCGCGGGAGCTCAATTTGAAAAAATGTGAATGAAAATAT